GTTTGTTTTCCTTTGAGATTGGCCGTTGATAATGATGGACGTGGGAGGCTTTGATAAGATCACAAATATTTCGCTACTCTTCTCCTTCAGTACACCGATGATAATGTAACCATCACTGAGGACTTTGAAAGGATTCGATTCTTTGCTGACTGCAACAATTATATCTCGGCAGTTCGATCTAACAAGGTTGCAAAAAAAGAGTTTTACAAGTTTCGGGATGGCAAGGAAATGCAGCAGGTGCTGAGGGAGGTGGTCAGCGACCACGGTCTGCAGGACCTTCAGTTAACAACAAGTTAGTTTCCCTTTACCGCCGATTTCCAATGTATTACTTCATTTCTTCAGCGGATATCGCAAACCTATACAAAATAGCTGCCTATGAAGTTGCCGCCATGGAAGATGGCTCGCCTCTTCCCGGATGGGTTCAACTCTTTCGACCAGAACATCTCTACGTTCTGGAGTATCTTCATGACCTAAAAGTATGTTTCATTATTGGAGATGCATGCTCACTTCATCGCTGACAGCCAAATTCTTGGTTATTCATCTGTAGCAATGGAAATGTTAAACATTTATCTTTTAGACACTAATTTAAAAGACCGTCGTGTTTTTCTTTTTCGATGAAGGGCATTTTGAACGAATCACATATTGGAGCACGAATATTTGGACGTTCGAACTTGTTTTTAAAGCTCAATAACACCAAGTCCTTTGCTAGTCTTGTTGCAAATTTTGAACACGATTATTGATCTGTATTTTTTTTTGGTAAGGCATCGGTTGTTAGACATCTCGATTTTTTTTGTTCCATAAGTTGTATTTCGTAAACATTTTTCCCTCTTTTTGAGTAGGTTCTTGAATGATGTGATGCACTAAATCTGGTTGTTTGTAAACGTTTGGCCTAGCCAATGTCAAATACGATTTTGTCTTCAATCCAAATTAGCGTCATCCTTATTTTCCTCTCAAATTACCAGCAGTACTGGACGAAGGGGAACGCGTTCCCACTGAGCTATGAGCAGGTCTGCCCTCTCTGGGGTGCCATTATGGAGGACATGGTAAAAGCCGCCACATACGACAGAGACATGGTCATCGCTAAACGGTGA